TGTTGTCATACTCTTTCTCCCTGTCCAATTTACACAGAGCTAGCGAGCTCTCAGAATGAAATGGGTGTGTGTGGAGCACTGTGTGTGTGTGTGCGTGTGTGTGTGTGCTCCTCCTGGCTTTGAGTATACCTGAATGATGATGAGGAGAAGGATGTCCAAACATTGATAATGGCCGCTGTATAATCCCCTGCTGTCTGCACACACCTCCTGACATATGGTCACTCCACGGCCTCCACCATTACATAAGCCCACAGTGCAAAGAGGGTGGGGTGGGTGGGGGGGTTGTGGTGAAACGTGGTACTTTCTCACACTCACACACACACAAACACACACACACAAGCATGCAACTGGCCACACTGTCAGCCAGGCTGTTCAGTGCCCTCAGCAGTTTGGGCTTCGCCTGTCACTTTTCTCTCCCCTGCCCCTTCTGGGGGTTTGTAAAGAATAAATTGAAGAGGACTGATGCTACGGAAGCTTTTGGGATGAGGAGCACAAATGGCCTTGTAGTGCTTCACGGCGACGTACAGATGGACTCCTCCATTCAATAAGCTTGAGCAGAAGTCTTATCTCCACACCATGCCAGAATCACAGAGCTTGTTTTGTGTTCTGAAGAGGACAATCTGTTGATGCAACATATTGGTGTTCTTTCCTTTCTTTTTTTGGTAAAAGCACGGACAGAGATGTCTGAAACGCTGGAGCGGTCAGGTTTGAATGACGTAGGACAAAATGTTATAAGGAAAAACAAAAGATTATTGAACATTTAAATGTTTCAAAGTGATTCTTATGTGATGCAAACTGCTCACAGGGGAAGTTTCAGTTGAATGTAATATATCCACTGCCTTTATTTTGTGACTTCTGGATGGTCTTCTGCTTTTATGTGTGTGCAAACAGAACATAAAGTGAATTTTAGAGGTCTAGACTGCATACAAAGTCAGTGAGTCAATGCATGAAGGCCTGGACTTCAGATATCTGCTTCATAAACGTACATAGACAAGAGGAAAAATGAGACTTGAGGGAACAATAGAAAGAGTTTCAATCAGAGGATAAACTGAACACAGACACAGTCGGAACCTGTTGCTAGTTAACTTACAGCCAACATCTGTCCAGTTGGTACATTGGCTGTTTGCGGTGCACATTGTCACAAAGATGGACGATATGACAGCTCCCCAAAAGTGGAGCCAAAACATCTCCATCGCCTCCTGCTGGCTGGCTGCAGTATCAATCATACAACCTGCTGCCTCCATGTTAGCAGACGGGACAAACTAAAATGTCAAAGTACATTTTAGGTAGTTCTTATCACGCAGATGTATGTTCAAGTTTTGCTGATCCAGAATTATCTGAAGCTCTAAAAAGGGGGTTTCACGTCATGACTGAGTCGGCTGGGCGTCTGGGTGGGACGCTGATACCGCCGCACCAACACCGATCACTACTGCGCAGACTACGTCACCAACACAAGATGGCAGCGGCTGTATCCGGGTTATTTTGGCTTAATTTCTGTACAGTTGGAGGTAGTTATGTAACTTTTGCTGAATTGTACACATACATACAATACACATGGTATTTCTCTATATTCTCTCGAGTCTGTAGCTTTGAACCTGCCCCGAAATGAGATATGAACACAACATTGACCCATCATCACATTTTTAGTTGATAGCGCACTTCATTGTGGTCATGGCGATAGTGGCCACTGGTGAATTTAAATCCAATATTCCCTCTCCTTTTAGCTCTGTTTTTGGTCTCCACCAACTCCTGAAGGAAATATCTGACTCTTCAGCTGCTAAATGCTCCACTATGTCCACCAGCTGGTCTCTGACTGTGTGTGTCTGATGTTGATGAAGCAAAACCAAAACAGTAAAGTTGCAGATTGGGGTGATAATTCTCTGTAGGTTCATCACATTCACATTGTTTTCATATCGTCATTTAATACGTTGTATAAAAACATTGATGATAGCCACCTTAAAGACACCATTATTAGGCCACAAGCTACTGGTCAAACCATACCAACCAATGCTGTAGCAACAGAACCTTGAAATCCGTTATACTGCTACTGAATTCAACTTTTCATTTATAAGACCAATGTGTTATTGCAGTTCATTAGAATGAGTAGTTGTAAAAGCAGCCATGTCGCCTTACAAACGTTGTTGTGTGGGTGCACTGAAGGTAAAATAAGAAAGTCAGCCAGATGACTGACAAACTGACAGATGCCAAATAGAAAAGAAATGAGACACAGGAGGCCCTTGAGCTGAAAGGAAAGAACATTTCATGCTACCTTCGGTCTCCACAGATAAAAAGATTTCAACAACTGCAGCTGCCACCTGAAGATAGATAGATAGACAGATAGACAGATAGACAGATAGATAGATAGATAGATAGATAGATAGATAGATAGATAGATAGATAGATAGATAGATTTGCGCAAAAGTGCCCAAAGGAACAGAGAGGACCCAGATTACGACAGGAACCACGGACAGATTAGAGTATCTAATTCATACATTCTTATGATCTTGTGCCAAGGTTGTCTGTGGTGCTCAAATCTGGATCAGGCTGTGTACACCGTGGCATTTCCCAGGTTTGGAAGGTCTTCGGATTCGCCAGCGGTGGGGCGCCACCCGATGGGCTTGTGCAAAAAAAGATAAGAAGAAAGTAAAAGAAGGCCGGTTGTTGGGTTGGCCGATCGATAATCTAATGGAAGGCCGGATTAAAAAAGGCATTCGAAGCACCATTCCGTTCCCGACATCTCTGTAACCAACTTAGCGAAGGGCGTTTTTTATTCAGCCCAATCGAATGGAATAGGCATATATGAGTGATCATCAGAGATGAATGATTAAACTAGGTTTTGACCTTTTTCGGTTTGTCAACCATTGGCAACGTTAAATTACATCGGCGGCTTTTTGGCCGCTCATAAATTTCATACTCTCCCATCCCGTGCCTCTCTCCCGGTTTTCCCCAGCGGGGAGGTGCCCAAGACGGGCCAAGTAATTTTGGTTGGTCGTATTGGGCTCGCTGGGCAGTCACAGCCAACCTGGCCCCCTTCTCGGGAGGGGATGGAGAGCCTTTCCAGGCCAGGAGCACACAGGTGTGAGGCTACCCACTGGGCCTTTACGCTGCTGACCACCCTGGGTGTTGTGGCCGGTCTCGTGTGTGTTGTGTGGTGTGTGGTGTGTGTGTCAGGGCAGGGTGAGTTTTCTGCTATCTGCATGGGTTTGCACTTATTTCACCTTGCACTGTGCATGTGTGTGTGTTACAGTAGGGTGAGTGTAAGCTCGTGTGTGTGTGTGTGTTTCAAGCCATCTGAAAGCTCGTGCGCTGATCTGCATGAGCACTCATACCACCCCGCGCGTGTGCGTGTGCGCGCGCCTCTACGCGAGCGTGAACCTGACGTCATCGTGTGCAGTCTCCATCATTGCAATCAGCTGAACGTCAGCGGCAGCCATCAGAGCATATTCGGCTGTTAGCTCGTTTTTTCTACCTTAAAAAGGACAAAAACCTGAATGAGGTTCATTATAAATAAATGTTTCAAGACAGGAGCGTGTTTTTTTTCAAGTATTTCCGTTTTAATTAAAAATAACACCGGAAAATATGAAAAGTTTGTCCATTAGAAACCAGCTGTCACACAATACCTCTACTACAAAAGATCTGCATAAAGCAACAAGTAGCCTACACAACCCTGAAGAGACAAAAAATCTTTGGATAGAGGATATGTTTTTTTTTTCTTCACTATAAAATTACGTGTTGAATTTCTTAATACAAAGCAGAGACAAATAAATAAACCAATCCATCAAAATAAAAACATCCAAACATTGAAGATAATAAATTCAGACTATTTTTTCGAAATCATTAGTATTATTTTTTTGGTAACAGCAAAAAAGAGGTTTGCCTCTGAATCGTATGATAACCCCTTGGTGGTAGAAACTGTTTGACATAATCATTCACATGATTACATTATTCTGTCACTGAAACAAATTCTTGAAATTGAATTACATTTTTTTTTATAAGCAGCCCAATTCGTATTCTTCGAGCAACCTCTGAACACAACAATGTAGGGAAATAAACATTTATGGGGCCATTGAGCTCCATCTTGAAGTGCTTATCGTTGCTATTGATAGACAATAGACGTGACATTAAAAAACAAAACAAAAAAAATAAGATAATGACATACATCAAACATACATCAAACGAATAAATTATGCTATGGATTAACAGAAAGTGCCATTTTTAAGAGTAGAACACAATCACTTTCCAAGTTCAATTTCACAGCCTAAAATATAGAAGCAACAAACAATATACATTTATACAAAAAGACGCCAGCCTATGATATCAACATAAATAAATTAGCCTTAAATATTAACACAATTAAATAAATAATTCCATACACTTTAAAAAAAAAAAAAATGATTAAGGTCACAATTTTATATGTCATAAGTGGCACTTACGCATTGAATCTTTTTTTTTTTTTTTCGCCTTCCTTTACGGAAAATCATCTAAACTAGATCTAAAGCAGCTATCTCGTTTACATCCTTTCATTTCGATCTGCCCCCCCACCCCCAGTGTTTGTTTCATTGGACCTCAAATTGATACAGTGAGCGGAGGACTTTGGAGGGGGGGCTTTATAGGCAGGGTTATTTGTGTGAGGGTTTAATGTGGAGACCAAATCAAAAGTCTGAAATCTTAAATCTGAAAACCAAATTCTTGATATTCATTATAGCACCCCCTCCATTTTCTCCACTACATCACTTTTTGTGGTGGATGGATGGATGGTGTGGTGTTGATGGGGGGGGGGACTCGGACAGCCCCGTCCTCCCCCCCTCCCCCACTGTACATCGGAAAATAATCATTATTCTCATTATTGCATCTATCAGCTCAAACGCCTCGGCGCTTGTTGCTTTTGTTCAGTGGGCGGTCTGGACTCAGTTTGCGACAACTTTACACCCTAAAAACCAACACTGGACTCACACTGAGGAGGNNNNGGGGGGGGGGGGGGACTCAGTCAGATACAGAGGTATGGCAAAGTCCCAGCATCCAGGGACGAGATGGGTTCATCTAGTGGGGAAGTTGTTTAATAGATTTTTGGCTCTGAAGGCTCAATTGGTGGTTTTTTTTGTGAGTGTGTTGTTTTTTTTTTTGAAGCGGTTTGAAGCTTGTTAGTAATTAAAACCTCAAAGATTTAATTGGAGTCCCTGAAGTCGAAGCAGGATGGGAGCTGCTGTCACAGGTGTTAGACCGATCAGTCTGTATGAGCCGATATCATCCAGTTAGAGAGTTTCCTCACCGAATATAGCTTTATAGAAAAAACTGATCCGGGATGACATATATTTGTTCTAATTAAAAATATTCATTCAGGTTGTTTTTAATCTCATGAGAGTTTTTAAAAGATTAAAACTCAGGACTCTTTTCATTTTTTTTCCCCTCACACCCAAACTGACTAATTTAAAGGTTGTGAATGTTTGCACACAGATACAGGAGGCTATAAAAACACCAGGTATTAAAACATCCCGCCATCAGTCCAACCCTATCCTGCCCCACCTTGCCATACCCACGCTTGACACCCCAGCGTGTTGAGTCCAGTCTACCAACCCAGCCGTCTCTGTCTCACGGGGGGGTGGGGGTCACTCTTAGACATCCAACACGTGATTGAGATAGGAGATGTAGCATATAGCCAGTCTGAGGATCTCGATCTTGGAGAGTTTCTTGTCCGGGGGCAAGGTGGGGAGTAATTTCCTCAGCTCCGCGAAGGCCACGTTGAACGCCTCCACCCGGATCCGCTCTCTGGTGGCGTGGGCCGAGCGGTACTTGGCCGTGGCCCTCCTCCTCCTCCTCTTCTTCCTTTCCTCCCTGCTCAGGGCTTGTCGGATTTGCACTTGGCCCTGCTCCTGCGCCCTCCGGTGGCTCGTCCGGAGGTGCACGCCGGCGAGCTTGAGCCGTTAGCATAGTCTCCGGTCGCGCACTGAGTCCAGAGAGGTCCGCCTGCAGCCTGGTCCGGCAGGCATCATTTTATGTCTCGGGTGTTGGCAGCTCCTCCCTTAAGAAAATGTAGCGTGACAAACCAGTCTGTTAAACGATTACATATTAAGGCTATTCCCTTCTTATAAAATGTGATCCCAAATTACAGCAAGGTGAACTGCACCTGGTGACAGTCAGCATTTTATATAAAGACAATTAAACTGACCCTATTCTTAATATATCCAATGAATCGAAACTCGCAAAGAATAAGCAAAATAATGGAAAAAAAACGTAATTAAATCTAATTGTTTTCAGTGTTTTCTGCCATTCCTGAGGCCCCAGTATGAGAAAATCCCATAGCGGACTTGTTTGGGTGCCAGACCCCCCATAAACCAACGCAGTCCACGTTCGTTGCATAATAAACATTAAACTCCATAAATAATGAATGGCTCCAAAAACTGGTGTAGATGGTTGAATTAATTTAGAGCCTAAGGCCTCAAAAAAAAGAGCCGAACAATTAGGCAGAAACATCACATTTTCAAAAGTGTCATAATTGATTTTTCTCTCAAAATTTATTATTAATTATAAAAAAAAAAGAGACGCGAGTTGTGATTATTTTATGAAGGAAAACTCCCCTTTTTTTGGGGTGAATTAACATAATCAGAATGGCCATCTGTCACCAGTGTGAGAACACATCTGCTTGGCTGAGGCCAGAGTGACTTGACAGCATGGAGGCAGAAGACGGCAAAAATAATGTTGACATCTGCTGGACAACAATCAGTGGAGCTGCTGTGCTTTAAATGAAGTAGTAAATATGTCTATGAGTGGCGTGATACTAATAGAAAACAGGTGATGAGGCATAAATATTTTTAGAAACTGATATAAAAATTATAAGTGTGTTTAGATTGTTATTTCCACATTTGAGACTCACCTGACAAAAGAGTTGGGAGGCGAAATATCTTCTTCGGAAACGAACTTAAAAAAAAAAAACGCTCTTGAGCGAGTTCAAGTCCAAATTACTCATATCCACCGGACAACCGAACCATTCAATGTGACACAGATTGAACTGCAGCCTCCCGGAAACGAAAAAAAAAAAAAAGAAAAGTTCAAATTAAAAAAAAATAAAACTACTTTTTTTTTATTTTACTTTTTCAGCGCGAACTTGCAAACATGGAGAATCACGCAGCAGGGTGGGGTCAACGCACGTCATGCGAGAAATGTTTCTGCCAGATCAAAAACAGTCCGAAGTCTTAAAGATGATCAGTCGATTAAAACAAAACACAACAGAGGAAGGAGAGGAAAGCAAGATAAGAGTGATGGAGCAGGGATCAGTCAGCCCTCCGTGTGATCCCGGAGATGGAGAGACAATAGAGGAGATGGGCAGATAGTGGAGAAAGTGCAAGAGAGAGGCTACTCGTCCATGCCGCCTGTGTGGAAGATAGGGGATCAAAGGAGAGATAAGCGAGGCTCTCTCGGCCCGTGTGAGGAATCAGCGGACGGAAAGCAGTTCACGGATAACCGCCTCTCTCCCTTTTTCCCTCCAGTCTTTCTTCCGGCCGAGTGTCATATGCGGAGATAAGATCCCAACGGATCCCGACTAATAAAGGCCACTTCAGGACGGGAGGGATGGAATATTATTTGAGGAGATGGTATTGTCAAACCGTCCCCCTGTCCCTCCCTCCCTCACCCTCCTCTCTTCTCGGTCTCTCTCTCACACAACAACCTCCCTCCCTCCCTCCTCCCTCTCTCTCTCCCTCTCTCTTCACGCCCCTCAGCCCTCAAGCGCTCTCCCTCCCGTGGGAGTAGTGGGCAAGGGGAAGCCAGAGATGTGTGCATGATAAAGGATGGTTTAAAATAAATACAAACATAAATACGTGTTTGTGAGTTTGCGCACGTGCTGTCGGTGCATAGTAAGGGTGATTAAAAAAAAAAAATGAGGGGAAGAGGAAGTGAGAGGGACTGATTTTCAACTGGAAATACTGATTGGCTACAAGTCAGAGACCGCCTCCTAAAATGTCTAATTTAGGATGCCAATGATATGGTGAGATATCGTTTTTCCCAGGAGAGGAACATTCAACCACAGTTAGGGAGAAATAGTGAGGTAGATTTTGTTCACACACAATTCAAAGCATCCTGCTCGTTTGTGCTTATTTTTGGCTTTTGGAGCCAATAACATGTTTTTAAATGATTCAGACAGTTTGAATTTGTCTCTTAGATTGAAATGAAACTGATTTGATTCATTGTGAATTCACTTGTTGACGTGGGTCTCATTCGTCACCATTGTAATAATTAAATCTATGAGGTACGATCAATAGCTTTTTATCTTGAGTCGGTTGGGTACTGCGAGTGAGACTAAAATACTGAAAGACTTCTTCACTGACACTCACCTGAGTCTGCTGATTGTATCATTTTAAATAAGTATAAAAGTGACTAAACTCCGTCTATATTCTGTGCAGTGCATGGCTTAAATAGGAGTTTTCTTTTATATTTGCTACCTTGTTTCCTTGTGGTATATGTTTTAATATTACTCCTTCACATGTGTTTGATGATTCTCACTGTATATAATACTAACCTGCAGATTCTTTCTTAGATAAAAGTATCAATAGGCTTCAACAATGTAAAAATACTTAATTTTAAGTACAACTTAGTGCACAAGTATTATCAGCTAAATGTACTTAAAGTGCCATAATGTCTCTGCAGATCTATTACTATATATAACATTATTAGACTGTTAACACTAATGCAACAATGTGTTTGCTATAGCTGCTCGAGGTAGAGCTACTTTGAACTACTTTATATACAGTTAGTTTAGTCGAGTGGTTCCAAACCTTCTACACAGTCGCAAGGTAAAACTGAAGGGTTGTGAGATGAGAGGAAATAATAAAAAACCTTTTTTCAAAAGTTTTTACCTCTTTTGACCTCAATCTAAAAGCTATTCAAATGAAATAATGTGAGTTTAGATGTAAAATATGTGTTTGGAAGGTTGGGAGCTGCTGTATAATCTCTAATAGTGAATCATATTTTATATTTTAATGTTAGATATCAATCTGCAAATTAACTAGTAACTATAGCTGGTAAATAAATGTAGTTTAAGTATCATGTTTGCCTCTGAAATGCAGTGAAGTAAGAAGTAAGAAATGCTTGTTTTTTAAGAACATAATTTTCCCTGGATGCACCTGTCACACATTCAGGTGTGCAAAGACGGTTTTTCAAGCTCTTGGAAAAGCAAATAAAACCCAGATCGAATCCAAAATAATTATTATAGTCTAATAATAAATATGCAGGTGTTGGAGCTGTGGCCAAAAACATCTGATTCCTGTGTAGAGCCAATGTGGGGTTGAAATATTTTACTTTTACTTAAAGCAACTAGAAGAAATGTTCAAATTGTTCTTCCATATTTTGCTTTTATCCAAGTCCTGCTGCCCTCTGTTGCACCTGCCACACACGTCCAACAATACAGGGTTTCTGGGATCAAACTGACACTATTTTTAATGGAGTAATAATATAGATTTATGAGTTGGTGGTTTTGCTGATATTTACGGTATATTGACACACATCTGCAGGGCCCGAGCTTTTTAAAAGGAAACTTGGCTGGTGATGGTTTAAAGCTTCTCTTCTCCTCCTCCTCCCATCATGCATCCCTGTGCCCGGTGGCACCACCAGCGTTGGGTCAGGAGGGCATGGTTCCAGAGGAGGGGCAGTGGCCAGTGAGTGTGGGGACTAGCTGCGCCTAACGAGGTGATTAAAACGATAAGGGGAAGCACGGATGACTTGCCGTGGCCCGCAGCCACCGCCATGCTTATTACCACACACACACACACACACACACACACAGTGAGTGAGAGAGAGAGTGCTGAGGCCCAGCTGGATGAGATAGCTGCTCTCTATGTCTCTCTCTCTCTCTCTCTCTCTCTCTCTCTCTCTCATACACACAGACACACA